CTCTACTCTCAGACAGTTCTAATTGTTAGGAAATGTTTTCTTCACATCAAGCCTAAATTGGCAGGATATAAGATAAATCCACATAAATTATCCACACTAATATATATTACCCACAAAACCCTGCAGAAAAAAAGATAAAAAGAAAAATTCATTTAAAAATAACTACAGATAATATAAAATACCTAGGAGTCTACCTGCCAAGATACACACAGGAACATATAAACACAATTATAAAACACTTCTCATACAAATAAAGAGAGATCTTAACAATTAGAGAAATATTAATTGCTCATGAGTAGGCCAAACTAATATAATAATAATAATAATAATAATAATAATAATAATAATATAATGACAGTTCTACCTAAATTAATTTACTTATTCAGTGCCATACCAAATTAATTGAAAAATAAATGATCTAATCCTAAAGAATGAATGGGTGAAAGAACAATTAATAGAAACAATCAATGATTTCATTAAAGGTAATGACAACAATGAGACAACATACCAAAATTTGTGGGATATAGCCAAAGCAGTACTTAGGGGAAAATTTATATCTTTAAACCCTTACATCAGTAAAAGGGAAAAAAAGAAAATCCATGAATTGGGCATGTAACCAAAAAGACAAATAAACAAAAAAAAAACCCAAAACCCCAGCTAGAAAAAGAACTAATTAAAAATCCCCAATTAGACACCAAGATAAAAGTCCTGAAAATCAAAGAAAAGATTAATAAAATTGAAAGTAAAAAATTTGAACTAATAAATAAAACTGGGAGCTGGTTTTGTGAATAACCAATAAAACAGATAAACCACTATTTATTTTGGTTTAAAAAAAAAGAAAATTAAATACAACATCAATGGAAATGAAATTAAAGTAATTATTAGGGACTATTTTGCCCAATTATATGCTAATAAAATTGACATTCTAACTTAAAAGGATGAGTATTTACAAAAAAAACCAACCCATAAATTGCCCAAATAAACAGAAGAGGAAATAGAATGCTTAAATAACCCTCTGCTAGAAAAGAAAATGAATAAGCCATAAAATGAGCTCCCTAAGGAAAATCCCCAGCATCAGATGGATTTACAAGTAAATTCTACCAAACACTTAAAGAATAATTCAAATACTATATAAACTATCTGAAAACATCAGTAAAGAAGGAGTCCTACCAAATTCCTTCCTTGCCACAAATATGGTTGTGTTACTTAAGACAGGGAGAACAAAAACAAAGAAAGCGTACTACAGACCAATTTCCCTAATGAATATTGATACAAAAAATTTAAATAAAATATTAGTGAGGGGACTACAGCAATATATCACAGAGATCCTACATTATAACCAAGTGGGATTTATATCAGGACCGCAGGGCTGGTTCAACATTAGGAAGACTATTAGCATAACTGGTCATATCAATGACAAAAACAACAAAAATCACACAATTATATCAATAGGTGCAGAAAAAGCTTCTGACAAAATAGAGCACCTATTCCTATTAAAAACATAAAGTATAAGAAAAAAATGGCCCTTTTCTTAAAATCGTAAGTAGTGTTTACCTAAAACCAAGAGCAAAAAAAAAAATCAGGTAATGCATTAAAAATAGACTGGATAAATGGATTAAAAAACTGGACTAGATTAAGTACACAATGTAGAACAGTAAATAACAGTAGTAATCTAGATTTTGATAAACCCAAAGATCCAAGATTTTGCAGCAAAAATTTGCTATTTGACAAAAACTTATGGGAAAACTGGAAGTCAACCTGGCAGAAACTATGCATAGACTAGCATCTCACACTGTATGCCAAGATAAAGACAAAATTGATATATGATTTAAATATAAAGGGTGATATAAGCAAATTGGGGGAGATGGAAAAAAGTACCTGTCAGATCTGTGGATAAAGAAGAGTTTAGACCAAATAAGAGACACAGAGAATCATGGGGGGTAAAATGGATAATTCTGATTACATGAAATAAAAAAGGTTTTCCACAAACAAAATCAATGCAGCCATAATTAAGAGGAAAACAGGAAAATGGGCGGGAGGGGTGATATGTGGAATTTTTATAGCATGTTTCCCTGATAAAGGTCTCATTTCTCAAGTATATAGGGAAATGAGTCAAATTTATAAAATAAGAACCATTCCCCAATTGATTAATGGTCAGAAGATAGGAACAGGTAGTTTTCAGATGAAGAAATAAAAACTGTCTATAGTCACATGAAAACATGCTCTAAATCACCAATAATAAGAGAAATGCAAATTAAAAGAACTCTGGGGTACCACTTTACACCTATCAGATTGGCTGACACAATAGAAAAGGAAAATAACAAATGTTGGAGGGGATATGGAAAAATGGAGACAAAGATTCATTTTTGGAATTGTGAACTCGTCCAACCATTCCACAGAGCAATTTGGAACTATACTCAAGGGACTATAAAACTGTAGATACTCTTTGACACAGAAATACTAAATACTAAATACTAAATCTATATCCCCCCTGCCAAAAAAAAAAAAGGTCAAAGAAAAAGGAAAAAGACCCATAATACAAATACATACACACAGAAGAATAAGAAAGTGAAAAAATGCTTCAATCTGAATTCAGAGTTCATCAGTTCTCTAGAAATGGACAGCACTTTCCATCATAAGTTCTTTGGAATTGTGATAGGTCACTGGATTGATCAGGGTAGCTAAGTCTTTCACCGTTGACCATCATTACAATATTACTGTTACTATGTACAATGTTCTCCTGGTTCTGTCACTTCAATTTGCATCAATTCACATAAATCTTCCCAGGTTTTTTTTTTAACCATCCCGCTCATCAGTTCTTTTTAGCACAATAGTGTTCCATCATAGTCATACACTATGACCCATTCAGCCATTTTCCAACTTATGGGCATCCTTTGAATTTCCAATTCTTTGCCACATAAGTTGAAATGGCAGTTAAGGAGATAAATTCAGGAAAAGCAAATGGAGTAAAACAAGGAACGTGATATAATCTTGAAAGGTCATTTTATAATTTATCTCTGGATGAGGAAGATACAAAAAAGAATGGAAAACATCATAGATAATTCAAAAGAAGATTGGAATTTCATCAATAACTTCTCAGCTATGTGCCTGCTTTCCCGATTTTAAAAGTATTTATGAGAATAATGTACAAAGTGTTGATGGTATTCTTAGTGAAAAAAATTAGAAGGTAACAGGCAGATTTTCATAACTTGTTTTCAATGAAAAGCCATATTTTTGCTTTTATACATTTGACTGAGAGATTCAGAAAATATAAGATCCCATAAAACAGGAAAATTGCCCATGTTTCTTAGAACAAAAGTGAAAATAGAATCTATTGGTTACCCAAAATGAAAACTCCCAAGAACATTATATCTAAAATCTGAGCTTCAGGATCAAAGATACTGTAAGCATCCAGAAAGAATTCAAGTACCAAAGAGTCATAGTTAAGATCACATATTATTTAGCACCTAAAAGAGTCATAGTTAAGATCACATATTATTTAGCACCTATCAATGTGAAGAAGAGGAGAGCTTGGAATATGGTATTCCAGAAGGCAAAGGACACAGGTTTACAGCCAAGAATAACTTACCCAGCAAAACTGAATATAATCCTACAGAGGATTAAATAGAGGACTTCCAAACACATCTGAAGAAAAGGCCAGAGTTGTGTAGAAACTTTGAAATTCAAAACATGGGAGATAAGAGAAATATGAAAAGGTAAACATGAATGAATAATCATTAGGGACTAAACAAGGATAAACTGCTTACATTCAAATATGAGGAGATGATATTATATTGTTCTTTCTGAACTCTGTCGTCACCAGGAGTCACAGAAGGAGTCTAGTTAGACAGAAGGCTGGGGGTGGTTTTATGTCTTCATGATCTTGAGATGAATGGAAAGAGGAGGGGATGAGGGGGAAAATTTAGGGGAAATCATCTCACATAATCATCATGTACAAATAGACATCTATACAAATCAGGAAGAGGGGGTTGGAGGGAGCAAATGACACTAGAACCTTACTCTCATCCAGACTGTTCAAAGCAGGGAAGAACACACACAGAGAGTTACATATAGAAATACATTTCACTTGACAGGGAAATAGGAAGGGAAGAGAAAAGGGGGATTTATATGGAGGGTAGATTAAGGGAGGCATTAGTCCTAAGCAAACAAAGGATTACTAAAATATGTATGGCTCTTTTTGAGGTAGCAAAGAATGGGAATCTCAGGTGGTACCCATAAATTGGGAAATGACTGTGACTATGATGGAATATTATTATGCTATTTAAGAAATAATGGTTTGATTTCAGAGAAACCCAGAAAGTTATATGGAACTGATGCAGAGTGAAGTGAACAGAACCAGAACACTTTATAAAGTAACAACAATATAGTAAGACAAACAACTTTGAAGGAATTGGGAACTCTGATCAGTATAATGACCAACCATGATTCCAGAAGACTAATGATGAAACATTCTTCCTACTTCCTGATAGAGAAGTGAAAGACCAAGTGTCAAATAAGACAAACACAGTCACATATACTACATATACACATATCATATATATATATATATATATATATATACACACACACACACACACACACACACACATGTATGTATATACACATGTGTATATAAATATATTTTCAAAAGCAAAAATGTACCTGCTTACTTTCCTACCCTAACCCCACTCCACTGCAGAATGAGGTTTCAATTCAGACAAATATCGTAATAGTCACTTAATTAATGGTTGTTAAAATTACATAATTATCTACCTAGGATCCAGAGAGAATAAACTGAATAATTTGCAAGTTCCCTCGAAGGTGGGATCTATCCCATCTTCTTCCTGAAAGTCATTTGGAGGGTGGGGTTTAAAGATCATGCACGTGGTTTAGTGCTATGCTTTATAGAAGACAGTATTTGTCTAGTAGGAAGACAGCTTGCTTGACAATAGGGTGTTCCTTGAAAATATATTTCAGCTCACCTTTGTTTCACCTTACAGTTACTTGAGTGATATCGATCGAATTGCTATGCCATCATTTGTGCCAACACAACAAGATGTTCTCCGTGTCCGAGTGCCTACAACTGGAATTATTGAATATCCCTTTGATTTAGAAAATATCGTCTTTCGGTAAGATGGTGACTTATCTGAGTAGCCTGTTAAGAATCTGTAAATGTCACTGATGGTTCTTAAAATGGTGCCCAAGAACATGAAACTCATTAATGCTTCCTAAGGTGTTTTATAGCCTTAGGATTGTATTTTACAGCATCATAGGATCATAGATTTAAAGCAGGAAAGGGGTTTAGAGGCTGTAAAGTCTAACCCTCTCATTTTTTATTTGTCTGAGGTAGGATTTGAAGCTAAGACTTCCTGATTCCAAGTCCAATGTCCTACCCACTCTATCATATTGCCTCTTAGTGCCCCTTACCAGCCAAGGAAGCAGGGACTGGGAGATTTGCCATAGGATAATTCCAAAATGAGGCAGGACTTGTGAAGAAACAAAAGTCCCTGAGAAATAGAATTCACTTTTTCATTGTTGTTACAGAGCTACATTCCTTTTTCCTGTAAATGCTATCGGCTGCTCATGTACTAGATGCTGTTATTTCTTTGACTACTTAATTGACTATTTTGACAACGGATGTTTTTCCTCATTTAGAGAAAAGACAAAATTCCTTTCTGACATACATCATTATTCTCCCCCCCCATTAAACTTTGCTGGTTTCCTTTCTTTTCACAGTCAAGCTATTTCAAGAACAAAATTTGAAGCACTGTGTACTATCTCTAGAGTCAGAGAATTTTTGTTCAAATCCCACCTCTGACACTACCTGTGTGACCTTGGGTAAATCACTTGCCTTTGCAAATCAAAATTTCCCTTGGCACCAGTTCCCTCAACTGTAAAATGAGAATGTTGGACTAGAAGACCTCTGAGGCCCTTCCACCTCTAGATCTATGAACTTCTAATCAGAACTTTATTCAGTATTGCAGGTTTGGATATACTATGGTTTTGTATTGGGTAGGATGATGTTTTCTGTTTCATCTCCTTTATTGTTCTTGACAACTCCCAATATTTTGTTGGCTTTCTTGGTTATAAAATCACATTGGTCCAGTGTCTTCAGGGAACACATTATGACTCCTGGGTTTCTTTCATAGAACCCTCTTCTTTCATATGTTTGCCTGTCTCCCCAGCTAAGTTGCAAGGTAATTGAGCCGGGTACTTACTAGTGTCTATCACAATGCTGGGCATATAGTAAGCACTTAATACTTATTGAATGAATGAACAGAAAGGAAGAATAAGTGGAGTTGAAGCTACTGCATTGGTAAATGTGAGTGGAATCAATGCCAAACGTTGGTGCATTTTATGCTTCTGGAAAACAATTTTTAGGGCTTAGCTTACCACCAACTGTAACACTTCTTCCCCAGGAACAACAATCTACATTGGTGAGGAAAGGTAGGAAAATGAACAACTTGACCCGAGTATGAGTAGGGTTAGTGTATAAACATAGCATGCTGGCTATATGTATTTGAAGGACTGTCATGTGGAATAAGGATTACAGAATCACAGAATCCTGGGGGTGGAAAGGTCATTAGATGCCTTAAGAGGCATCATGGTCCATTGGGAAGAAAACTGGCTCTGGAGATTACTCTTTATAATTACTACCTGTGATGCTGGGTAAATTATTGCACTTCCCTGGGCCAACCATTTCCTCATATGTAAAATGAAGCTGAACCAAATGTTCTCTGATGCCTCTTCTGGCTCTGAATCTGTGATCCAAATGCTTCAATGGGATCCTTTTTCTAGCATCTCTGATGTGTTCATTCAGTCTTTGCTTCAACATCTCTAGAGAGGGGGATCCAACTGTCTTCCAAGGCAGTCCATTTCATTTTGGACAGTTCTATTGTTAAGAATCAAAAGGAAACTTTTGTCTCCTCATCTTCTACCTATTATTCCCAGTTCTGCCCTTGAAGAAATGAAATAAGTTTAAGTCCTCTTCTGCATAATAGTTTCAAATATTTGACTGCAATTAAATTTTCTCTCCTTCAGGTGAAACATACTAAGTTCCTTGAATGGACCTCATATAATTTAATGTAGTCAAAATTATCCATTTATATTTTGTAATACCCTCTATATCTTCTTTGGTCATAAATTCTTCCCTTAGCCATAGATCTGACAGGTAAATTATTCTAGACAGGTAAACTATTCCATAGATAGATAAGATAGATACATAGATAGATAGATAGATAGACAAGAGTAATTGTTACTCTTTTGGCCAGCAACCCCGAGGGTCTTCCCCTCCCAGTTGTTTTTTTTGTTTGTTTGCTTTTGTTTTTTGACTGAAGGGACCATCCCTTGGCTCACTTTTAAATAAGCTTATTCACTGAATGGGCACACTCTCACTCAAAGTGAGAACTCACAAAGACCTTAGCTTAAAAAGGCCAAGGTCTCCCACTGCATCCTGGGCCATTTTCAGTCATCTGGATCTATTTCTGGCCACTGGACCCAAATGGCTCTGGAGAAGAAAGTGAGTCTGGTGACTCTGCACAGCCTGTCTCCACTTAAATCCAATTCATTTGCAAGTCATGTCATCATCTTCCTGATGTCATGGTCCTCTTTGAGAACGAAGGACAAACCACACATATAATATCATGCTAAGGCAGTTCATCATTGTATTCTTCCTTCTCTGGGTGCTTTCCAATTTATCAGCTCTCTTCCTAAAATGTGGTACCTCAAACTGAAGAGTACTTCAGAAAAAGATTTGTTAGTTAGTGGAACTATGTATGACTTCCTGTGTTTTTGGATTAAACTTACTCTTCTTGGTGCCCCAGCATAGGACTAGGAGCTGTGGATGAAAGTTGTAAAGAGGCAAATTTAGGCTTGTATGGAAGAACTTTCTAACAACTGGAGGCATCCAAAAGTAGAATGAGCTGCCTCCAGCAATAGATGTGTAGATGATTGATTAAGCATTTATTAAGCACTTACTATGTACTAGGCTCTGTGCTAAATGCTGGGGATACAATGACTATAGCAAACAAGACAGTCCCTGCCCCCAAGGAGCTTGTCTCTTTGAGGCAAGGCACAGGGGAAGATATACCTAGTTCTGAGCAAGAAAAGCTTGGTTACCCATTGCAGCCCAGGTTTCAGGGTGGAATCCAAGGTTCCTGTGGGGAGGAAGTGGACATCTTAGCAAGAGAGGAGACTGCATAGTTTGGAGCTGGTGATTAAGAAGTGAAGGGAAGGATTGGTACTGGAGCAGATAGAGCTTTTCACCTAGATAGTAGTTTCCCCTCACAGGAAGTCTTAAAAGCAGAATCTGGATGACTACTTTGAGGGGGGATATTCTACAAAATATTCTTGGTCATGTATTGATAGAGTAGATGGCTTTAGAGGTTCCTTCCAACTGTGAGACTGTATGTTCTGAGACTGAGTATCTGAAGGGCCATAAATAGTTCCTAAATGGAAATTCAATATTTATAGCTCCATCACTGCGGAGTTCATAGTGGGGCTATGGTCATTTGCAAGGGCAAAACTGCTTGTATCAACAAAGACACCATCTATGACTAAATTAAGGAAATTTGCTGAAGGAGGTGTTCAGACATTTCTTTACTCCAATAAACAAAATCTTTTCTGTAAGGAATAAAGAGCTGTGCACTCTCAGAGTCATGTTCTGTGTTTCTATTGGGCAGGATGGTGGATGTTGGAGGCCAAAGGTCTGAGAGACGGAAATGGATCCACTGTTTTGAAAGTGTCACCTCCATCATTTTCTTAGTTGCTCTGAGTGAATATGATCAAGTGTTGGCTGAGTGTGACAATGAGGTAAGCTAGATAGAAAATGTAAATGGCTTTGAGAAAGAATTACTCCTAAAGACTGTGAAAAACAGATTTATCCTGGTGATGGATAATCTTGGGTTTAATTATTTAAGATAAGCTTAAATTATTCAAACAATGGCCCCTTAAAAAGGCTCTACAAGATGCAGATGTGAGGGTCCTCCTAAGTCATACTGCTTTTCTTAGTAGAGGGAATAGAACAGTATTTTAAATCTGGGACAATTTTTGTTGGTAGGAACTGAGATATAGTGGACACATGTCTTAGATTTTGCAGAACAGTCTTGATTTCAGTTAAATATATTTTTAAAAATTATTTTATTTCCCAATTACATGTAAAAATGTTTTAACACTTTTTAAAATTTTGAGTTCCAAATTCTCTCCCTCCCTCATGATACTTATCTCTTTTGGATCTACTTTCCAGGTTATTTTTTTCCCCCAGTGAGATAGTTTACATAAAAAAAAAATCATTCTTTTGATTTTGTTTTATTGTTTCTTGATGTGTCATGGAGTCAGCTTCCACTTGCCCAATTCTAATTTTTAAGGAGTTATTTTCATTAGTGAATTTTTGTGCCTCTTTCTATATGGCCAATTCTGTTCTTTAAGGTATTGTTTTCTTCAGTATTTTTCATGCCTTGTTTACTAAGATGTTAATTCTTTTCATCATTTTCTTCTATTTCACTTCTATATGTAATTTTTCCTCTACCACTCTTGTTTTTCAAGCTAATTTTTTAGCTCTTCTAGGATTTCTTGTGGGGCTTTTTTTTTTCCAATTCACATTTTTCTTTGAGGTTTTGCTTGCGGCTGTCTTGAGTTCATTGTCTTTTTTCTCAGTTTGTCTCTTGATTTTCCTTGTTACCACAGTAGCTTTTTATGATCAGGTTCTTTTTTGTTGTTGTTGCTCATTTTCCCACCCTATTTCTTGACTTGGAAATGTATGTTCATGTTGGGCTCGGTTTCCTGGGAGGCAGGGGGTGGGGGTGGGGGATGGGCAGGGGGGAGCCATTGGCACAGCCTCAAGCTTTAGGCTTTTTTTGCACTGCTCTTTTCAGAGCTAGTTCTAGGGGGTTTGGAAGGTTTTGGTGCTTCCAAGGTGGTGTGATCTGCGGAGAGGTATGGTCACTACTCTCTTGGTCTGCGCTCTTGTCCTTACCAAGGAAGGGCCCCTGATCCTTTGGGATTGTAACTGATACTGCTCCTCACACACACCCCTTTGCCCCACTTGGGACTAGAAATTATACTATTCTTCAGGGTCCTTAATCCCTTGGGTCCAGAAGTGATACTGCCCTTCGGGGCTCCTACTCCCTCTTGACTCAAAGTTCTTTCCTCTGCCCTTGAACTATGACCCAGAAGTGGGTATAGACAATGCAGTTGCTAACCTCGTCTGGTCCTATTTCTAGTGCTATCCTTTGTAATCTCTTTTTGACCATTTGCGAGGTCCCCTAACTCTCTGACTTGAGAGCTCCTGAATCTGCTCCTGCTACCACTACCACTTAGTCCCATCACTTTTCATCCACGTGGCCTCTGGGCTAGCCTCCCCCCCTCCCCCCCAGTATCTTTTTTTCAACCTTCTGTGTTGTTATGGGCTCGAAGAATATCTCATTCTGACCTTTTGTTGGCTCTGCCACTCCACAATTAGATTTGAGGTTATTTTAAAATTGTTTGGAGGGGAATGTTGGAAGAACTCAGCCAAGCGCTTTTTCTATTCTGCCATTTTGACTCTGCCCCCAGAAGTGAAATGAAATGTATTTTAAACAAAATTTTGCAAAACAAATATCCTTCATCAAAACATGTGTGTTGATTTTTTGTTTGGAAAATACGATCACTATAAATATGGAGACTGTTTTAGCTCTGCCCTAGGGAGGTTAGATATGTTTTGACATAGGCTCTCAAAGAAAAGACTCCAGTGGGTCCTCTTAGCTACTTAGCTCAAGCTTTTCTAGGTAGGATCATCCAGACTTCTAGTTGCTATCTGACACCACCACACCCATACCTCTCAGTTCTCCTGGGGCAAGGCTTGGAGAAGCTTTGCCATTTTGTGCTCATTCATGTGAAACCATTCCCAGGGTTCACTGCAGTCCTTTTTTCCCAGTGTAGATTTTTCTGTCAAATTCATAGGTTGGGGCAGCTGGGTGATGCAGTGGATAGAGCACCAGCTCTGGAATCAGGAGGACCTGAGTTCAAATCTGACCTCAGATACTTGATACTTAACTAGCTGTGTGACCTTGGGCAAGTCACTTAACCCGACTGCATAGCCCCCCCCCCCAAAAAAAAAGATATCATAGGCCATCTTCATGTTCTTCCTCTTTCCCTCAGCCCTCAGAGCATTAACTAAAATACCTCTCAGAGAATGACATATCTATTGGGCTTTAAAGTTTACAAAATTTTGTAGATTTTCTCCTTTACAATTACCCTTTGAGAGAGGTACACCAGATATTCTTATTTCTCCATTCTATAGATAAGGAAATAAGATTCAAAAAAGTTGCCATATGGCCTCAGTTGCATTCCTAATTTGTTTTTCCCTTGTGAGTCCTGTATCATGTGAAAACGTCCCTGCAAAATGGTGTCCTGAAGTATGACAACACTGTCCCAACACTCCCATCATTCTAGTAGGCACCAAACTTGACCCAAAAGATAATAAAAACGTGATGTCAATCACTGATATCCTCAAGGCTTAACAAGGCAAAAGGAGATTGATGGGTATTAAATGCTCAATACTCACAGTAAGAGACCTTAAGACTGTGATAGGGTGACAGAGCTTTCTGCCCATCCCCTATCAGGGTACACCGTGTTGTGTCATACTATATGCTGTGTTATACATCAGGCTATTATACATTATGCTGGCATATGCTATTATACCGTGTTATATGATATGCCATTGTACCTATGTCAACACATGCCACATTAGCAGCATGTCATACATGGTACACCTACCACAACTGTCACATCACCATGTGGAGGGAAAATGGCTGCTGTTCTATAGGGCACAGTCCTGCCCCTCTCCAATCCCACACCCCCATGAACTTCTGCAAGCTTTTATTCAGAGTGGTAGAGCCTTTACACACAGTGCCAAGGTTTTGCTATTGATTAAATCAGTTTCTTTCCATAAAATCTTTTAAACCAATCAGTATCCCAATTTGGTTTTATTTGTTTAAAAGAGTAAGAACTTTTCTTCATTCTACTTCAGTTGAACCCTAAACATGACAAACCTGCTTAAAGCCTTATTTCTCAAAAGTCCCCTTATTGCTCTGGGAAGTTGCTTGGTTTTTCTGTGGAAACTAAGTATTAAACTTCTTTAAGGACCTTTGTTTAAGTTTTGATGTTAGGAAGTGCAAAGATACTTCCTAACTCATTTTTCAGAGGCCTCAAATGAAGAGTTCTTGAGTAAAATGTTGCTTTTTAGTCCTTTGAATCACTCATCAACCTAGGCTGTAACAGTACGCTTTAAATTTTTTGTTTTTCCAAGTTAAGTTCCAAGTTCCTTCCTTTCCTCTTCATGGAAAAACATGGAAGAAAACAAAGCCTTGTGTAAGTCCAATCGATCACCATAAAGATGGGCCATTTTTTATCTTTCTTTTAGAATGGATCCAGCCAACTTCCCATGTCATAGACTATGATCTTTTGAGATATCTATCTCTTCCATTGTTAGCACTGATAAATTAAAAACGTCTGTTTTCTATATGAGGTCTCTTCTGATCCCACCCCTGCTCCTCCTCCCAACTACTAGTACACTCTCCCTAGCTACCTTGTATTTATCTAATTCGTATTTAGTCTACACCCACTGACACCTGTAGCTGTGTCCTACAGCAGAAGGTAAGCTCCTTGTGAGTAGGGACTTTTTGCTTCTTCGTATTTACATCCCCAGCGTCTAGCACAGTGCCTGACATGTGGTACGTAGGTGCTTTAATAAATTCTTGATTGATTGACACATGCCTACATGTACAGAGTATACACATTTGGCATGGTCATTGACCTAAATGATCTTGCCACCTAAAATGGCTGACTGTGATTGGGATCCTATTGATTTCTCATGACAAACACAATTACCATGTAAAAGAATATAGAATACTTTTGTCAACTGCAAAGGTGCACAAAACTCTTCAGTTTTCTTAGATTTATGTTCATGGTATAAAGACAGAAATGGGGGATTTATATGGAAAGGGCAGTCCGAGAAAGGGAGCAGCACGATAGCAAAGAGATGGTGAAGGGGATGGCAGAGAAAAATGGGGGAAAACAGACCTTGTGGGAATATGAGATAATGGCCTATTGACCTTCTTTACCATTTTTTGCTTCTCTTCTTTCTTTACCTCCTTGGAATAGAGATGATAGTAAATGTTCTTTATGTGTGCTTGGCAGTGACCCCAAGGCCTCAGAATGGGGAGAGGTGGTGCCCAAATGGTGTTTGTTTACTTAGGGAGATGGAAACATGTGTGGGCGTGTCAATTTGATATTGCTTCTCTTTTCTTAAGCTTACTATCAAGGTCTCTGTTTTCTACACAGAATCGCATGGAAGAGAGCAAAGCCTTATTTAAAACCATCATCACTTACCCCTGGTTTCTGAACTCATCAGTGATTTTGTTCTTAAACAAAAAAGATCTTTTAGAGGAGAAAATCATGTACTCCCATCTTATCAGCTATTTCCCAGAATACACAGGTAAGAATCTATGATCGTAGTATACAAGAAGTCATGCTTATAAAATAAGTGCATTAACCCAGCTTGCTGGTTACATTTTAATGTGTCACATTAACTTTCCTTCCATTTGTCTCCCTGGGGGGTGGTAGACAGTGGTCACTGCTTACTGTAGGACATGTGTGACTTCTTTATCATTTAGAGTCTTGAAAAAAATTAGACCTTAGATCTAAAACTGGAAGGGACCTTGGAGGTCAATTCCCCATCTTTCAGGTGATGAAAGTGAGGCCCAGATGAAATGAGTTGCTCAAGGTCTTACTGCTAGAAGAGGCAGAAAGGCAATTTGAGCAGGGTTCTCTGACTCTAAATCCAGACAACCATTCGCCTGGATACCTAGTCCCAGAAAGGATTTGGTATGTAGAGATAAGGATGGCCACAGGACATCTGAATGCCCTATGATCCTCTAGAAATGGAATTCTAAAACGCTGCTCTTTTGTGGCCCCTGCTTTATTGTGTTAACATGAGCTCTCTACAGGGGCTGTTCGCTGGATACTGAGGCTCACAGAGCATCTAACTGCATCCCCCAGGGCAGGAAAGAAGTGAGCATAACAATGAAATTAATCAAGGGGCTTGTTGCTATATAGCATATATGTTGGAATTTTCAGGGTGAAACAAAGTGTAGGAGGAAGGAAAGTCAACCTTAAGCCCCAGAGTGTCTTCTATTACTTTTCTTATATCACAAGTTGAGCCATCTATTATATTTACCAAGACTTGGCAAACAACCTATTCTCTTACTTCTATTCTGGTGAGATTGGTTTGGGGCTGAAAAACAGGTCAGAGTCTTTGTGGAGGCAAACAATGGGGTGGGCTGCCAACTGTGTGAGCACAGGGAAGACCTTGGAAAATATAAGCCAGAATCACTTCTATCCAGTGGAAAAGGTCATGTTTACTTGCTTTTGTTGGCCTAGCACTTGAAGTGAAGTAGAGGGCACATACCTGGATAGAAGCAGCAGTAGAAAAATGAAAAAACAGCTTGTTTCAAAAGGATTAAAAGTTTAAATCTTGACTCTCTGTGATCATGGGATCACAGATCTCTTATTTTACAGACAAGGAAACTGAACCCAGACAGGTTAAGTGATTTACCCCAGGTGACACAGTAGTAAGGGTCTTAGGTGAGACATGAACCCATATGCCTTCCTGACTCCAAATCCAGTGCACCATTCTTTAATAATGTCCTATGTGATCCTGTTCCTTTGGTTCCTTTCCTGCTATTTAAGAGTCAAATGTGTTAGTTTTTCTCCTACTTAGGTAGTTCTGCCAGTATGAAGTCAAGAGGGTGACCAGTATTAAGTATATTAAATATACAGAAATATTATATGATCATATATAAATTAAAAAGATCAAAATTTAATATTAAAACACATTTTATCAAATGTTTAATATTAAATATTTTATTAAATATAAAATTAGCATTTATTTAATATGATTAGATTTCAGTATTATTTAATAACTGGCTATATATAATTCATGTAATTTATATAATTATATACAATATATATGATATAGTTATAATTTAATAGATGTATAAATGTGTATACATGTGTACATATATATACACACACACCCCCACCTAACTTTTCTGGGCCTCTCTTTAGCTATAAAATTAAGGGGTTAGACTACATGAGATAATTACTGTCCCAGAATTACAAAGCATATACATTATGGGGGCTCAGAAGAGGAAGAAAGCTCAACTCCTTTGTTCTATTTTGCCTCTTTCCTCTCCATCATGAAGGATTTTCAAAATGGGAGGGGAAGAACAAACTTGATCAAGGAGGAGCTGAAGTCCACAATAAGTGAGAAGGAGAATAAGAGTGTAATGAGCTATTTAAATGAGTTCAGGTTTCCATGTCCCAGTGAATCTCAGAGTACATAAAGAACTTTCAGATTATCACAGAGCTTTTCTTGTTAATATTTAAGAAAACAAGTAGAACAAGAGATGTCCCAAAAGATAGGAGGTGGGCAAGTATTTTCAAAAGAGTGAGAAAGGTTTCTAGAGACTACAAACCACTGAGCTTCATGTAAATCATCAGCAATATTCTGGAGTGTTATTCAACTGTTATTTTATGAGCATGTAGAAAAGCAAGCAGTGATCACTAGGAACCTTCTACTATGGGTTCACCAAAATCAATGCTGCCAAACTAAATTCAGTTGCTTCTCTGTTTTTTGTTTGTTTGGTCTTAAACAAGGGTATTAGGACAAGGCAGGTGAGGAAAAATGTTATCAACATGGTACTTTCTAGATTTTAGCAAGCCATTTGACAAAATGTGGCCCAGATGATAATTAGCTGGATTCATAGCTGGTTAAACTACCATGCCCCTTGCCTGAACTATTTAAGGCCCTGAAAGGACTCTACCCTAGGACTAGTGAAAACCCACCTAAGATCATTTTTCAATGATTCTTGCCTGTACCTCCTCTCTCCCACTGCTTGTTCCCTTATTCTCCTCAGCCTGTATGTGAAAGCTACTTACCTGTTCCACTGTGCTTTTTGGAATGCCTGCACCATAATCAACAAACCTTAATCTTTTCCTTTACCATTCCATTTATCTTTTTGCTCTCACTGAGATCTGGCTCCCTCTTGCTGCCACAGGCTCTTTGGCCTACGTTTCCAACACTGGCTGCATTTCCACTCATCTTTTCCAATTCACTGAGTGAGGTAGTAGAATTGCAATAAGCCTTAGAGGCCCAATAGAGGGTTCACTCTCCCCACCATCATTCAGAAGCTTCTCCTCCTTTGGAGTTCACTCAATCCACAGCTATTACCCAATCCAAATTATAACAGCTGTTTTCCTCTAACTTTTAGGATACTCCCCTTTTTTCCTTAATGAGTTCAGTCTAGCTCACAGTCTTCTTTCCCATCTCAATTCCTGCCCAATACCAGGGGATTCCAACATGCATACTGATACTCCCTCAGACAAAAATATAAACATGCAGTTCCTCAACTTAACTCATTTTTTTATGACCTACTTCCCCACCCTAACTCAGCCACACACAAAGATGGCCATACCCTTGATCTTGCCATCACCCTCAAATGCACCAATTCTACATTCAAGCACTCTGAAATTCCCTTTATCTTACCACAATCTATTGTTATTCCACCTCTCTCTGTGCTTTAAAAGCCCAAACCTGTTCCTTACCCACAGTGATCTCTAATCTCTGAACTCATTAGTTCTTTCATAGGCCATCACCTGCAATTCCTGTGTCACTTCCTTTTTTCATCTTGACCCTTTGGTGAAACAGCATCAACTCAAAACTGACTTTTTTTTTTTAAATCCCTTGCACCCTGATCATATCACTGATCTTGCTATGCCAAACCCCAGCCATGGCTCACTCCTACCACCCACTGTCTTCATTCCTAAAAGTGTGCTTCTGCATGCAGCTAGGAAAAAAATCATGAAACTATGCCAACTAAGGCCACTACAAATTTATATCGTTATTTTTCTCCTGATTTTTTTTGGGGTGGGGGGAAGACAGTACAGTTATCATCATAAAGTGTTTAACATGTAATGGGATTGTTCTAATTTTAAGTAAATTAGTGAATATTTTAAATAATGTATCAACTTAAATTTCTAAAAAGTTAAATATTGATAGACATAATCCACATAAACAAAAGCTCTCTGGTGCCCTCAATAACTTTAACAGTGAAGGGGTTTTGAGGCCCAAAAGTTTGAAAATAGCTGTTCTATAAGGATGGTGCAGTATGTCTCTCCCTTTCCTAATACCTATGATTATGCCTCTGACCAGGACCTAAACAGGATGTCAAAGCTGCCAGAGACTTCATCTTGAAGCTTTATCAAGACCAGAATCCAGACAAAGAGAAAGTTATCTATTCCCACTTCACATGTGCTACAGACACAGAAAACATCCGCTTTGTGTTTGCAGCAGTCAAAGACACTATTCTACAGTTAAATCTGAGGGAATTCAACCTTGTTTAAAGGCTGCACTCTCCTTTCTCTCTGCAATGAGAAAAGAAAGGGCTTTTGGTATCTTCTTGGTTTCTTCTGCAAATGCTTCTCAGATTCTCCTGTTACTGCCTTACCCATTACACTGTGACTCACAGGTATCCAACCTCCTCCGAAACACAAGCCTGAGCACCAAATCCACCATGTTTGCTTAATAACTGCGACAGGCTCAGAGGAATAAAGAAATGGGTGATGGAGCTTAGAGGAAAGTATACAAAAGTTTACTGAAGCCTTTAAAATACTTTTAAATTTGACTCATTTTATGGTTCTTTTTAAAATTTTGGCTGAGATTCTTTTTGTGCATGAATTTTGATATTAAAGATATTTAAGACATTTTATAGATATCTATAAAAAAAAACCCACTCCAATTCATATTGTGTTCTCAATTGTTCCTTTTTCAGTGTGTTTAAAGAAAAACCTTTAAAATCACATAACACCAAACTTTTAATCATTGCCTTATACCATATAACCAATGCTATTAGGATTGTAGGGGAATGACTGGAGGCATGAATAGATTTGAAGCTTCATATTAAAATTTATAATTTTTCTTCTTTACATGCTGAAGCATTTCTTCTTTTGTAATATTTAAAGAAATTGTTTTAAAGCAGTTGAATATAAAGTTTGGGAGCAAACCCAAAAGACTACTATGTGCTTTAATAAATTGGTTTCGTTATAAATGTAAACTAATATCAAAATATAGTGTTACCAAAGCCGATATCTGTTAAAGGGATTTTGAAAAACCACATTTAAAAAAAAATCATATGTGTGTGTGTGCTAGGAACAAATGATATACCTATAGGTAGGTGTACGTAGCATTGACTTGTGAAATTAAGAACTGGTCAAATAAATCATGTGAATGATAATATATAGTATCTGCCAGGCTTATGTGGAGCCTCGAGATTTGCTGCCAGACTGTCAACTCTACATGGTTTTTGCCTTCTTAAGAATATAACATCCCATATTCTTATACTGATTGTTTTGTGAGTTTTTATTAAGCTTTATTTTTCTCGATACTCATATCTAATTTGGTGATTCTCATCTTCCAAAGAAAAAAAGGAATTGCCTCTAGCATACCTTTACCATTTTCCAAGTCAAGTTTATGGTATGTTAGAGATGTGGCAAAAGGGAGTGCTTATTCTCAAATCTCAGTAATAACCTATATACATGGTTTAGGGCTAAAATTCTCTGAGTGTGGCAAAGGCAAAGATCAAAAAAAGGTCTCAGAAGGCCAGAATGATGGACAGAATCTAAAAAGATAAAATTTTATATTGAAATAATACAAAATTCTACAATTGGGTTCAAGAAATCTCTACAGGTTTATAACGGGAGGGGCATGTCTAGTAACAGTTTGCATGAGGGGGAAAAAATTTAGGGTTTTGTTTTTTTTTTTTTTTAAATGTAACCTTAACATGAGTGTGGAAACACAGATGGGCCACGGTGGCCAAAAGGCTAAGGCAGTCTTAAACTGTTCTTCTAATAGAAACAAAGTGTGTGGAACAAGGGAGGGTACGGTCCTGTAGTCTGGTGGACTGACATTCAGTTTGAAGTGTCACATGTTAATAAAGAGACTACCAAAGTGTAATATATCCAAAGAAAAGTGCCCAGGATGGGCCTCAAAACTATGCCATGAGGATCATTTGAAGGAATGTGAAATGTTTAACTTTGAGAAGTTGTAGGAGCATACAAGTTATCACATATTTGAAGAGCTAGGTCATGGAAGAAGAATCAGACTTACCTGCAGAACTAGGAGCCATGGGTAGAAATTTCAAAGAGGTAGATTTGGGTTTGCTGTGAGGGAAAAATAACAGTAACTTCTTAATTCTCCAGCTCCTGCAGTACAGAATAGGCTTCTTTGAGGGAGATAGCAGGTTCCCTTTCCTTGAGATGTTCCAGTCAAGATTGGATGACTTCTTGTGTCAGTGATTATATAAAGGGCATTTCTGTCCAGGTATTAGACTAAAGGATCTGGTTTCCTCCTCAGTTTTAAAGTATTTGAAACAGAGGCTCACAACAGACTTGAGTGGTTTCTATTTTATTTAGCAGTAACAGCCAGCTATGCATTTCATACTCTTGAAGTCAGCCTATACTACTAGGGTTGTCCAGATATTTAATTAATTAATCTGGTTGACTGTGGCCCTGGCCACTTTGAAATATACATATCCCTTATTGTGAAATATATTCACATGTATAAAAGAATCTGTGTGCAAGTCTACAGGAAAAAAAAAAGGTTATTTAGGCAGGTACTTCCTTCCCAAATGAGGTCATGAAGGGTCAGACAACTAAAAAACGATTGAACAACTACCTAATGAATCTCTATCCAAATTTAATTGTTAATTTTCCTAAAGCAAAAAGAATATTTGAGATCTGCCAACTTCAAGGCCTAACACCCAGAAAGGGCTTTGATTTCTATTGGGGCTGGGGAGAACCAAGTTGGGCAAGAGCAACCAGTTTCTTCTACTTTTCAGGGTTGGTCAACTGGACGCTATTTTTGTTAAAATAATCAATTCAGGTATTTTGTCTGCTGAACTTAAGATTTTGGACTAGCTCTGTGCATATGTTTAAACATATAGGTATACATACAGAAACTGTTAAAAATGAACTAGTAGGATTGAGAAAAGCATGATGCCATTAACTAGCTAGTTGGTTAATAGCTGGTGGACATGCCATCTCCAGCATGTGTATTTCTGTTGAGATGTGAGCTAAACCACACACACAAACACCAGCTTCATTAAAGCTATTCTGGACATTGAACATATTATACATATTCATGTCTGTACTTTGTGCATACATATGTTCAAACTATTTTGTTGATCAGTCATGTACAACTCTCTTACAATTATTTCTTTTTTGTAATCACAGCTATTTGTATACAGTTCATTTCTCTTTTTTAGACCATAAACTTAAGGAAAATGTTGCATGTATTTTTTTCTATTAACTTAATGCTTGCAAATGGACTAGATGCATGTTGACTCAAAAGACAGAAACTAATTGTTTATTCTCTTTCTTCCCAAGATTTAGGAGTTACCATATTTGTCAGTATATTAAAAGAGACTATTCAATTAAACAAGCATTGATTGAGTGCCTACCACATGCCAAGCATTAATAACATTATTGTTTTTCCCCATATTTTTCAAAATAATTTGCCAACTTTTATCTATCTTCTTGGAAGAGAATGCTGAGTTCTAAAGAGTGTGGAGCTTTGACTGTAGTGAATCTTAACAGTAACTCTTATTAAATTGACTGTAACGCTGGACCTTATTCTGGAATTGTGGAACTTATCCTTTCCTTCCAGCTCCAGCTGTATTTTCTTCCTTCCTTCTCATCACTATACACCTTGCTTTGCCTAAAGTTCCTGTCACCATCTACTACCCTCTCCCTATCAGGCTCACAGCTCCACTGCCCAGACAGTCCCTTGGTAACGTCCTCATCTTTTCAACCGTTTTCCCTACCCCACAAAGTCCTCTGCTACAATAACACAGACTAATGGACTAAATGTATTACTCTGAAAAGTAGAAGAATCTTCATCACAGTTATCACTTTATGTCTGACTATCTTTCCCTACTGGACTGAAGTTAACAAAAATGAAAAACAAAAAGATAGAGATTTAAAAAAAGGTAAGAGGGAGACGTTTTGCCCATCTTTCCTTGTTTCTAATATTAATATACCCTTAGAAAACCTCAAAAGGGCTATTATATACAGTAAATCATGGATGGAACAAAACTTACTGAAATTAACAGATGAAGATATTTGGCAAGATGAAGATATTTGGCAAGGAAATAGGTTAAGTTCCAGGACCTTTATTTAAAAAGAAGTATAGCTAGCTGGGAGTAAACCAGTCCTGGATGTGGTTTTGTTGTTTTTCAGTCATGTCTGACTTATTATAATCCTATCTGGGGTTTTCTTGGCAAAGATACTGGAACAGTTTACCATTTCCAGCTCATTTTAAAGACGAGGAAACTGAGGCAAACAGGATTAAGTCACTTGCCCATGGTCACACAGCCAGTAAGTGCCTGAGGCCAGATCTGAACTCAAGTAGGTGGTTTATGTTGCTTTCTATCTTAAGCAAGTATATACAATTGCATTCTATTCACAATCTACTGCATCAAGACACATGAACATATCATCACTTTAAAAATTAGGGCAAAAAAAACCCAACCCTAAGACTTAGAAAGCACTGGTCATCTGCGATTGTATAACTTAGCTACTTTATGGGGAGATACAAAACAAAGAGTGAGGTATCAGCACTGCATATGCACTACATGCCATATGTATAGACTCTTGAGCTAAGAATCTATGTAAGGGATGCAAAGGACAAAGGAGCAGGACATTCTTTGGTGACATACAGAGCTGGAACTTTGCAATCTAGCATTTCCAATTGCGGGTTTTGTGCAACCTCTGCATCACTATAATAAGGAACCACAAACCATTTAATGTATGCCAAAATTAGTTTTTAAAAGGAAAAAATGTGTTTAATATTTTTTAAAAATGTAAATTCCCTGAATTCATTTTATATGTACACATACACACATACAAAATTGTTGAAACACAGACTTTTGGTGCCAAGATGGTGGAGTGAGGAAGGAACCCTTTGAAGCCCTCTCAAATTCCCCTCCAGACAACAAGAAAACTGCCTCAGAAATGATCTAGGTACAGGGAAGCAGCTTACCAGCCTGGCAGGAACAACAGCCAGCCTCACAGCAGGGCTCCAAGTCTGGGGCAATCCACCAGCAAGGCCCCACCTCCCTGCAAACCAGCAGAACCCTAGACAAGTGAGCAGTGTGTGCAGCACAACAAAACCCCACCTGGGCAACATCACCAGCCAGGCCTCGACCCCACTGCTGATCAGTAGTGACGCCCTGCCCTAGGGCTGGCCAACAGTGAGCCTCCACCCTTGGAGCAGGCCAGCAGTTAAACCCAGGGGAAGCCAACAGGAAGGACTCCCAAACCAGAAGGGATGCCTGCCCTCCAGAGAAAGCAAGCAGCTAAGCCTGAAGCCCAGTAAAAGCAGCAGTAAGACCCAGAACGAAAAGCTTCAGACAGTGCAGGAACAGAGCCCGATTCTCACATTAAAAAATAACAAGTCAAAAATAGGCAAGAAAAAAAAGGAGAAACAAAACAAAAAAAGAGCTTGATTACAGAAAGTTACTACGGTGACAGGGAGGATCAAGGCATAAACTTAGAAGAGGACAATAGTGTCAAAATGGCTACATGTGAAGCCTCAAAGAAAAATGTAGTTTGATCTCAAGCCCAAAAAGAATTCCTGGAAGAGCTTAAAAATGATTTTAAAAATCAATTACAGAAACATAAGAAAACTTGGGAAAAGCAACAAGAGTAATGCAAGAGAATTGTGAAAAAAAAGAGCCAACTGCATGAGAAAAGATACACAAAAATTTATTGAGGAAAAGAACTCCCTTAAAAATCAGAATTGAACATGTGGAAACTAATGACTCTGTGAGACATCAAGATATGATAAAACAATCAAAAAAGTAAATTTAAAAATATGTGAAATTCCTCATTAGGAAAACAACTGACTTAGAAAAGAGGTCCAGGAGAAATAATAGAACAACCATGGGACTATCTGAAAGAGATCCCAAAATGAGAACTCCCAGGAACAGCATAGCCAAATTCCAGAGCTCTCAGACCACGCAGCCACAAAGAAACAATTCAAATATTGTGGAGCTACAGTTAGGATTACCAGGATTGGCAGCTTCCACATTAAAGATGCAGAGGGCTTGAACTGGAGGGCAAAGGAGTTTGATTAAAACCAAGAATGACTTGCCCAGCAAAACTGCTTATAATCTTTCAGGGGAAAAAAATAGACATTCAATGAAATAGAGAACTTTCAAGCATTTCTGATTAAAAAACTAGAACTGAATAAAAAATCTGACCTCCAAATATAAGACAAGGGAAACAAAACAAGAAACAAGAGAAAATATAAATCCAATAAGATTAAATTGTTTATATTTCTACATGCCAAGTTAATATTTGTAGCTCTTAACAACTTTATTACTGTAAGAGCAATTCAAAGAAGTATATATATAGACAGAGGGTACAGATAAAAGTTGAAGGCATGATACCCCAAAAACCAAAATAAATGGGTGATAAAGAAAATTGCACTGGAAGAAAAAGAAGGGGGGAGATTGAATAGGTTAAATTATCCCACATAAAAGAGGCATAGAAAAGCTATTATAATGGAGGGGAAGATGGGGGTGGGGCATGGCAGGCAAACCTTAAACCTTACTCTCATCAAAGTCAGCTCAAAGAGGGAATATCATACACACTCAGTTGGATATAGAAATCCACTTTACCCTATAAAGAACTAAAAAGTGATGAGGATAACAGGGAGGGGTGGAGAGACTAATAAAAGGGAAGATATATCAGGGAAGGCAGTGAACAGAAATAAAACACTGACAAGGTGAGAAGGGAAATACACAATGAGTTACCATAACTATAAATGTGAATGGGATGAACTCAGAAAACAGAAGCAGATACCCGAATCGATTAAAAACTGAAATCGTACAACATACTCTTCACAATAAATACATTTGAAGCAGAGAGATAAACACAGGGTAAAGGTAAGGGGCTGGGGCAGAATTTTTTATGCTTCAACTGAAGCAAAGAAAGAGGTAGCGATCACCCTTTCAGACAAAGCAAAAATAGATCTAATTAAGAGATAAAAGAAGGAAACTATACCTTGCTGAAAATACATAGATAATGAAGTCACATCAATGTAAAACATATACACCAAATAGAGCATCTAAATTTTTGAAGAAGTTGAATGAGTTACAGGATAAAATAGATAATAAAACTATACTAGCAGGGGACCTCAACTTTTCCTTCCCAGAACTAGATCACTCTAATCAAAAAATAAAGAAAGAAGTTAAGGAGGTGAATAAAATTCTGGAAAAATTAGATATGATAGATTTCTGGAGAAAACTGAAAGGAGGGGCAGCTAGGTGGCACAGTGGATAGAGCACCAGCGCTGGAGTCAAGAGGACCTCAGTTTAAACCTGGCCTCAGACACACGACACTTCCTACCTGTGTGACCTTGGGCAAGTCACTTAACCCCACTGCCTAGTCCCCCACCCCTCAAAAAAAACCAAACAAAAAAACAAAACAACTGAATGGGAATAGAAAGGAATATACCATTTTCTCAGCAGTAAATGGCACCTACACAAAAAGTTACCATGTATTAGGACATCAATAACCTCTCAACCAAATGCAGAAAAGCAGAAATAGTAAATGCATGCTTTTCAGATCACAATGCAGTAAAAATTATATTCAGTGATGGAGAATGGAAAGATATTAAAAATTAACTGGAAATTAAATAATCTAATCCTAAAAAACAAATAGGTCAAAGAACAAATCACAGAAACAATCTATAATTTCATTAAAGAAAATGACAACAGTGAGACAACATACGAAAATTTATGGGATGTGACCAAAGTGGTACCTAGGGGAAATTTTCTCTCTTATTGTTTACATCAATAAAATAATAATAATTTTAAAAAAGCAGATCAATCAATTGGGCGTGCAACTAAAAAAAAAACTATAAAAAGAACAAATAAAAAATCCCCAACTAAATACCAAATTGGAAATTCTGGCGGTTAAGAAAAATTAAAAGAAAACTATTAAAATAATAAATAAAAGTAGAAGCTGGTGCTATGGGAAAAAACCTCCCAATAAAACAGATAAACCACTGGTTAATTTGATTTTAAAAATGAAAGAAGAAAACCAAATCACTAGCATCAAAAATGAAAGGGTGAACTTACCACCAATGAAGAGGAAATTAAGACAATTGTTAGGAGCTTTTTTGCCCAATTATATGCCAATAAATGTGACAATCTAAATGAAATGGATAAATATCTACAAAATATAAGTTACCCAGATAAACAGAAGCCGAAATAAAATACTAAAATAACCTATTCCTAGAAAAAGAAATTGAACAAGGTAGCAATGAGATTCCTAAGAAAAAATTCCCACACCCAGATGGATTCACAAGTGAGTTCTACCAAACATTTAAAGAACAATTTATCCCAATATTATGTAAACTTTTTGGAAAAACAGGCAGAGTCCTACCAAATTCCTTGTATAACACAAATATGGTACTGATACCCAAACCACGAAGAGTCAAAACAGAGGAAGAAAATTACAGACAAATTTCTCAAATAAAGATTGAATATTTAAAATTTTTGTTCAAAGAGATTACAACACTATGACCAGGTGGTATTTACACCAGGAATGCAGCGATAGTTCAATATCAGGAAAACTAATAGCATAATTAACCAACAGAAA